TCAATGAACACCGTTAGAGAAAAGAAAATGGACCATGCTGGACTTTTCGAACGATTGTGAAGAACCTCGTGTATCAAATTTTTATCATCATTTTTCTCGAAACGTCTATTACGACATATCTTGGAAATTCTTAAATAATCTATCGAATAATTCAGGTGAATGATTTAGAAGGTTAGCAAAATATTTGGTACTACGACATGCGATCTGTTATCTACATTTCGCTTTTCGTAACATGACATCGCGTCCTACCGTGACTCGATTAATAATCGTCAATCGATTCCGCATTCGCTGAGGTTGGCACGACGAAGAGACAGCAGGACAAGACGGATTTCGACGTGGACGAATGACGCCTTCGCGCGTTTAAAAGTTTTCTTCTCGTTAAGACGTATTCCCCGGGGTCGTCGTCGGCAGGACCTAACGAGAGAGCGTCGTGTTCCACGCTGTTGTCTCTCTTTCTCTCTTTTTTTGTCCTCCGCTCACTTTCCGTCCCTCTCTCTCTCTCTCTCTCTCTCTCTTTTCCACTGTTAGAAACACATTTATTAACGGCAGCTCGGCTCATCCCGCCGCTAAGTACCGGTAAGAGAGTACCATCCCTGTTGCTTTTCCTCTCACCGAGAACCTTCATTCACTTTGGGTAGCTGTCTGCCGTCCCATTCGAAGCAGAGGAAAAAAAGACGTCGCATTGTCGACGCCTTATTAATTCGGAGACGAGGGTGAGAGGAGGAGGAGACGGCTGCAGGAGTCGACGAGCGAGGACGCCGGAGGTGTCGCGGGGAAGAAGGGTCCTTTGAAGAAATTAAAAGAACAGAGGGTATAATGTGAACACATCCATTCCCCGCCCCGGTCGCTCGCCTCTCCGTCGTCCTCCGCCTCGCTCGCTTTCCTTCTCTCTTCGTGCGAGAGCAGGACGCATTAACATCTTGCTGCGAGGTCTCGCTAAGCGCCAGTCAGATAGACATCTCGAGCCTTGTCACGGTTTCTTAAAATCCGACTTATATTTCGAGCTTTTCCCCCTCGACCTATCCTCTGAACGTTTTCCTTCGCTTTCGCCGAGGAAACCTCTCTTGTTCCATCTTCAACGCACGGGAAAGCGAAGAATCGTTCGCTGGTCTAAACGACAGAACTCTCGCTCGGTCAGTAAGGGTAATTTCACTTGATTAGGATATAAACACAAGATGGTAATGTAAACGCGCGCGCAGATCACATTGTTGTGTAAATTGATAAATGAACATCCTCCCGTTATCACGATCGCCGGCGTGGCGAAGTGTATCATATCGTATCATATTTTTACGCTATTCGCATAAAGCGCCTACGTTTTACTTCCAATCGCAGTGCCGTAAGTCGCCGTTCGAGCGGCCGCCGGCATTCGTACCGATTCAAATTCAGTAATACGGTGCGTTCCCGCGGACCCGAAAAGAGACATACGGCCATTTCGCGTTGAGGAGCGGCCGTCGTAATGTAAGGCATCTGCGTAAGGATGGCAAACGAGGACGTTAGCCGAATAATGCAAAGCAAACCCGAGCTGAGATATAGTCCAGCATTTGTTCATATTAAGGCGCTGTCACGGCTCGCAATGTTCGCGTGTCGCGCTGTTCACCTCCCCCTTTCTATCCGGCGACATTTCGGCCGCGTGCCTGCGTGTGTTTTGAAATTATATAACGCGAGAACGCCCGACGTCGTTAGTCAACTCGCGCCGCATCTCGCTGTTAACTATGTGTATCTTGAGCAGCCGTTACATCGCAATTTGTCAGGGGCCGCTGCGTGGCGCAATTCCGCGCGTTAAGTTGCGCGCCCGGCGCGCGATATTTCGGTCGGCCGTGACAACTCGCGTCCGGGATTTGTCTCGGACCGATGTTTGCCGAGCAAACAATGAATAAACGCCGCGGCATGGGCGGAGGCTGATGATGCATCGAAAATCGCGATGCGTTCTTTTCCGGACAATGAGAATTATCAGAGACGACGACGATTGGGGTGCGCGCGATAAATTATACTTCCCCGAGAAATCATGTCCGAGCAGAGACTTCGAACGGCGAATCACGTCGTCGTCGTCGTAGATGCGATCTGCCAGTCGCCTGGTTGATCTTAAAATCGTTCAATTCAACGAGAAACGAGATTCAGACTCGTCGTCTGGCAGGCAGACTTTGATCATAAGTGACACGCGCGACTTTACGGTAAACCTAAGTTCTAAACTAATAAGGCAACACCACGGTGGCACGATCGAGAGCGGGACGGGGGTGGAGACGCCGATGGAAGCAGAAGGGTCCAAGTTTCATGGAGCTGCGAACCGGGTCACCGATTACGACGCTGATCGTCTGCGAGAGACAACCAAATTGGATAAGTTGAAGGAGCGGAATCTTCTTCGTCGCCTATGGGCCCCATTAAACTCGAAGATCTAAACCGGATATCCTTTATCTTTGATTTCTATTCACGTATCTTGAAACGACATTGTGTCATCAAACATGAAAATACTTGCTCGTACGTAAAACGTTCCGAACGAAATCTTTCAAAACCGTTGAGAAACCAGCTCGTTCAATTATATTACATTTTTATTCACAGCAGCAATAATTCTCCCCGTAAATCGCGTTAAAATGAAAGTTAAACGGTGTTTAACTTGAAAACTTTAAGCAGCAACTGATGTATCCTTTATTTTCGCATGTGAATGCAAATATCTCCTTTCGTCCCTGGAGGGATTATAGTATTTCCTTTCTTTTTACATTCACATCTCCCCGAACTCGCTTTATCCGCTCACGGGAGAAACGTACGTCGCGTTTAAGATCGACATTACCGGGAAAGAACTATCTCCGGCAGAGCATTGTTTCCCAGTTCGAGCTTCCGCGTCGAAAGAGGTCGAAGAGAACGCTAGGCGGTTGGCGTCGGGTGTAAATTTGCATTGAACGAAATGAGGCGCTATGGGGCATTCCAGTCCGAAGTTAATAGCTTCCCAACGATTAACTGTATCTCTCCAACCACCTACCATCCATGCCCAACCCTCTTCCTCACCCTCCCGCTCACTATGTTTCTCTCTCCCTCTCTCACTCTCTTCTCTCTGTTCATCCGTTGCTCGCTCACCCTCTCGCTCAACCCTCGTCCCCTTTCTCTCTCTTCCGCCACACACGTCCTTCTTGCTCCTCGTCGCACGCGCCACGTCCTAGCTACCTATATCGTCCCTCCTAATAATGTATGTCCCAAAGGTCGCGAAATAACTGACTTCGTCGGGCTCGACCGGCGACGAATATCGCGGCCAATGTCGGCCGATCGACTCGTCGAATAGCTGAATTAGATGCAAAAATCACGACGAGCCCGATATCTCTGAGGCCTGTACGCTTTTCATCGCGATTTGATTGCGGCCTTTGTCAGTCTGACAGGTCATCGACAGCACGCCGGGGTCGGAAAAGGCAACGCTGCTGCGGCAGCCAATAGTTTCCAGGCGCGTGAAGGCGCCACGGGGGTTATAGGGCATAATTTAGTGGACAGTTTGATATACAAACAATCTTTAATGAAATTCTTGGTGTTCATTAATAACGCATTACAGCCTCGCGCGCCGGTGTGTCGGCATCGGTACCCGGGAATCCCGTTCCCTCTCCCTCTCTCTCTCTTTCTCTCTCACTCTTCCTCTCCTCTCGCTCTCCTCCTCCTCCTCCGCCCCTTTTATACCCTACCATTTTCCTACTCATACTCCGGTGCCACCGCTTCCGCGCGTACCATCGTCCGACACCCTTTATCGCCCTGGCTTTCAACCAACCCTCTTTCCACCATCGGAACGTTCTCGATGAACCACCGCGCGAATATGTTACGTATTGCCGCGGTGGCTCGATTTCTGATCCGATCGTGTGAACGCAAATTCGCGTTTTTTTTTTCTTTACTCATTTGAATTGACGAACATATTACATCAATTAACACTATTTCATTCTCAGCGTATATATGAAACAAAGTAGAATTGTTGACGGATGAAACGAAGTTCCGTCTCGATCACGATAAATTGTATAGGAGGTGGAGTTCTGTTGGATTAAAATATTTTATGCGCATCGGAATACTCTCGTTGTTACATCTCATTAAAACGAGTTTTCCCTTAAAACTCATAACGTACCTTAGGCGAGTTTATTTCATTTCCCGGCCCGTCTGCGCGTTCTCGCGAGGGCATGAGTCGAACCGGAGACACGACACTCGATATATCGAGACGAAGGAGTCTCCCCGCCGGAGAAACCCGGGGAAGAACCAGCCTCTGGGTAGGAAAAAAGTAATTGCCCCTTGATACACGCCGATACCCCTCCTTCGGGGATGCCGCCTCGTAATGATGTTCACGTTGGCGAACTTAGTTCGAAATTAAATATCGGGGCAAGGAGGTGAAACGGAGGGGAATGTCGAAGAGGAATCGGGCGGTCGCGAAGGAGGAAGGGAACGACGCTGCGCACCTGCCTTTTTCCCGGGGCGGCACGATAAAAATCAAACTGGAAAACAAACGAGAAGCGGGATCGTATTATAAAGTTTTTTAATCGATAGACGATGCGCGTCTCTGAGGGGGGAGCGGAAGAAGCGGTGGGACGGGGGATATCTCGCGGTTGGGTAGATAGACGGGGGTGGAAAATGAGAGAGTAGAAAAGAGCAAGAGGGAGAGAGAGAGAGAGGTCCAAAGAGGAAACGGCGCGATCGAGCGAGGAATCCTGCGGCGTGCTTACTGGCTCGTGTAATAATGAATTTATACCTCGCGCGAAAACGCTTTCGGAAGTGGCGACGTGCCACTTTTCTTTCTCGCCTCGCCTGCCTTTTTAGAATTTTACTTAATGAAAAGATCCCGGCCAACGAGATCCCTTTTACTCAGAGATCCTTATCTCGCGGATTCACGAGTACGTGTCTATCGAGGAACGCAAGTGCGATTCTAGTAGCGGCAAGGCACACACTCGATCTTAGTATGAGCGAGATAAGTGTATAAATATTTGTATTAATAAATGGTAACAGTAGCCAATTATTGACAGCGCGTTTCTCGCTTTTCTTGTTCACAGACGCTGCAGCCGACAGATCCGCCAATCTTCGATATCACCAATGTGCTGATAAACGAGACAGTGACGCAGTTGGCATTATGGGGCAACTTGGGTATCTCTCTCATAGAGCTGCCGAAGCGATGGGGCAAGGAAACCGTTTTTGAAAGCGGCAAAGAGGATATTCTCTGCACGTAAGTACTCATTCATCCTTGGAATATTCAGATTGCTTCCGTTCAAAATCACACTCTTTGCGAGAGCATCTTTAACATAAACACGAAGCTCCATAAGAGAGTTCACATATCTTCTTCTTCTTCTTCTCCTTCACACATAAGTTATATTAATATTTTATAAAAATATTAATATTTAAATATCCCATAAGAAGTATAATGTGTATATATGAATCTGTGATTTACATTTTTCTATAATAATACGTTTGTGGAAAATACGATGAAAATAGACTAATATTTATCAACGAAATCAATCAATCAATAAAAATTCACGGGAATCTACAGTGAAATAATAACATCAGCGACAATATCGGAATGACTAGTCGTCGATTCAATGATCGTCATCCACGAGGAGCATCTTAGCGAGTCCGCGATCCGGAAAGAAGCGGGTGCCGCTGAAATCCGACTCGTAAAAACGGAGATAAGGTTAGCGGCGGATAATAAATCGCGCTATCTGCCTTTCCCGTACCGCCGTCGCCGACGCCGCCACCGCCACCGCGTCTCCCGTAGGCGTCCTAATATCCTGTAATTAAGAGGGTGTTACGGTGACGCCCGGGAAACCCCTTCGGCCTCCCTCTTATGGAATTAAGGTGGCTTTACTCGGTTAGTTTTCAAAAGTTCCGGGGGGTCAGGAAGCACCGCTGAATACTAACCGCCTCATCAACGACACATGCCACCCGAGACTACTGTCTCGCGTAACATTACCCGGTGGTGTGCCATCGCCACCCCCGGCTTGCGTCCCGACCCCCGGCCGTAATCTTTCGGGCGATTAGAACGTCGCGCAATTACGAGCGCCGTTGGAGATTACGCTCGTCCACGCGTCGCCGAGCCGTGGCGCGCAGTCGATCGTCGTCAATCGAGACACCTTCGAACGCGCTTCCCGCGTCCACCGCCTTACCCCTACCGACCCCCTGCTGTAATTTCACCCCGATAATTCCACTATCGATGGAGTTACGAGTTTGAAATCGAGTTTGAAATCAATTAATGTTGGGACGGAGGTGATTATGTTGTCTGTTGCAATCTATCAGGGTCTTGAAAAACCAACCAGTCTAGCACGATATTTCCAGGAGCATTTCGATGGAGCTCAAAGGTAAGGAGACTGTACAAACAAATTGACGTTGGTAAATACTTTTAACCCATAAGTAATTGCGTTTTTTTTTTAAGAATAAATCAATTGATGTTTATAGCTACACTGAGGAAAAAGTAAAAATGTATTTGTGAAATATAAGGTTTACCTCATAGAAATAAACGTTTACTTAAATATGGCGAAATAAAATTTTATTCCTAGCAAATAAACCAATTAATAAGAAACTTAAATGGTAAATACTTTTAAAAACGGTAAATACTTTTAACCCATCAGTAATTGCGTTTTTTGTTTTAAGAATAAAACAATTGATGTTTATAGCTACACTGAGGAAAAAGACGTAAAAATGTATTTGTGAAATATAAGATTTAATTCACAGGAATAAATGTTTATTTAAATATGGCGAAATAAAATTTTATTCCTAGCAAATAAACCAATTAATAAGTTAGATATATCTCACAAAAATATATATTCCGTCATCACAGTCAAATTTTTTCTAGTCAATGAATATCGAAGAAAATGTTACAAAAATCATCTGCTTTGCAAAATTTCAATTTCTTTTTCTCAGTATAAGATTCTCAAGTGTTATTGACGCTACTTCGCTAGATCCAGAAGTAAGTGGTAAAAGTGTCAAGAGTAGCGTCGCAGGCTAAAGCAAAACCAGGGAAACATTCGTATATTCATGCGTTTGTGGGTCAGTTTGACCCTCACGCGTCCACTTACGGTTTAAGGGATAAATGTATGTGGTATTCTAGAAGTATCCTTTAAGCGAACATTGCGGTATGAAGTTTGACATTCGTGATCTGATGAAGAGATATTCGTGTCTCGACGGTGAAGGTGGGTATCACGCGGAGCTACGGAGAACTCGCTGGCTGAATTAAACGGTAATTAATAGCAAAATACGATGACTCTTAATCCACTGGAGGTATAAACGCGAAAGGGGTAACCGCTCGTTTTAAGTCATCCTCCGCATTATAATTTCATAATAAGCTGAATTCAGAATAAATGCAGGTACCTTCCCTGACTTCCTGCTAATTCGTAATTCCGAACTTTTTCCGGAAGCGAACGAACCGCTCGCTCTTCGAGAGCGAAGGGGAGAGAGAAAGAGAGGGGGAAGAGAGAGGATAGGGAGAAAGAGAGCGAGGAAGAGAAGAGCGAAAAGGGAGAGGCACGACCGACCGCTGCTAAACAAACCGGCCAAATTAAGAGCGGCAGTTTGCGCTAAAGTTTTTTCGTCGTTTCACTTAGGCGATTTCACCCGGCCTCCGGGTTCGAGCGGATTTATTAAGAACGCACGTAGCGCATTATGCGCGCACACCGCGCGAAAGATCGCGCGGGAACAGTTTCTAAGTGAGTCGCGGCCATTAGAACGAATCTCGGGGATTTAATGTCCCCGCCACCTCTGCCAGCCGGCTTAAATAAGGCTAAATGAAGTTTATGCGTTATTGCCGACGGAACTTCCGGTAGACGCGACGGCGCGGCCTCGCCGAGGGCTGAAATTCCGAGCGCATTATCATCTACCACTTTTAACCTGGCCGAACGCGTCTCGCGGGTGGGAGGAAATCGATCGGAAGCGGGAGATTTCTTGATTACGTCGTCCCAACTCGGAAGATTACTCGTCACGTGTAAGACTTACGAAGCTCGCTTCCGGCATTGCGTAATTCAGTGACACCCTTCGATTTCATTTCGCGCCGTTTGTGGAATTAGTATTGTTCGATTTTTAACCAGCGCGACGGTGGGGGTTAAATCGCGATCATAATGACTGCAAATCGGTGCTCAGGAAGTTCAGGAGGCGACCGATGTCGGACAGGTGATGTGACGGAGCTTCGCTCGGGCCGTCGCCGAGTTACAGGCTGACTTGGCGTTCGTTGCAGAACGTCGGAAGGAATAATGAGAGCGATTAAAAATGCAAGGGGGAACTTCCGATAGGTAGCTCGACGTCCTCGTCGCGCGTCCTGAAACCGAATAACAGGTCCCGCGGCTTGCTCAGCGGGGGAGGATGGGCTTCGGATTAAGCAAATGGCGGCAATAATAGTGATTATTCGGATTATGATATCAGAGCGCGAAGTGGGTTCGCTCAGACTTACCGGCAGCCACTAACTGCCGCGCCGCCAAATCCTGACTTCAAGACACCGGATTAAAACTATTACCACTTCGTGGCACCCCTTCGGTCTTTCATTCCGCTTCACCCCGCACACCGTCCCTCGACGGACCCGCCCGCCTCGCTCACCTTCGCGGCAGGTTCTTTCGCCCCCTTCTTGCCTGTTTAAAACGTCCCAGAAGATCATGGAATCTGCCACAGAGCTCGTTTTCGCAGGATAGTTTGTCACTAATATGAATCTTCGAGATGGCCGTATCTAATATAGTACAAAATTAAAATTTGTTCATTTATCATTTCCCCAAGCTTTCCCTTTACACGATTAACGTGAATCGAATAAGATAACCAGATAGTCACGACAAACGTCAGATGCCGTGAACACGAATGCTCGCAGACGGAAGATCTCTCACTCTCAACATCAGTATAATAGACGTGCTATTATAGACAGTGAGCAACGGTATATAACAGTGAATAACAATAGTTCAGCCGCAATAACAGTTTACCCAGTCCCGCGAAGCAGCGGCTATACTCGGCCGCGGATAATCGCTATAGGAAGTAAGTACAATTCCTACCGCATAATGCGGTGCCGCGGTGTGGTGTGGGCGAATCGTGCAACACCGTCGCGAGTCGTGGTATTAATTCGACAACGAATTGCGAAAGCGGCGCCATTTCGCTCGGCGCGGGAAGATCGTCGCCTCTTGGTTGGCTCGCGTGGCTAATTATTGTTTTAAGGATTACCGTTATGTGTTTATTATGCGGCCTGGAGGACCTTACCCTCCCTCCGTGCCCCTGCCGCCGCCCTCTTACCTGCCTTAATATTCGGTAGATTTCAGCTTCTCCGAGAGAAATCTACGCCGCTTCTTCCCCCCCCCCTCCGCCCGCTACCACCCTCCCTTCTCCCTCGCTAAAAGTCAGCCTACGTTTATGAATAATTCTCACCTCTTATAACCACCCCCTCCTCTCTGCGGCCCCCTTCTTCCCGACCGCCCCCGCTACCCCATCGCAACCTTTACCCAATCCACTCGCCAGCACCGCGAGCGAGCGCATCTCGCCGAACCACCCTCGGAGTATTCGCCTCGTAAACCCCTAATGCCGGCTCTTCATCTGCGAGCTTCCAGATTCAGAGCTTCGCGGAAGCGAGCGAGTCGCCGTAACGCCCGCAGCAAGAAGCGGAAAGTAGATAATGGACACACGCGTAATTACAGGTACGAGCGTTCCCTGACTAATGACCTTATTAAGAAGTTCTTCGTGGCGGATGTGATTTCTCCGTCTCGCGTGAGAACGTGAGATTTCGTCGTCCTTACGGATTTCTTCACGATGCGAATGCATCGCGAGTCGATGATCAGTGGAGCCTTCCTCCGATCGTGCAGGAAATATGACAAAAAGAAAGAAGCTACATAAATATATCGCGTTTTTAATTAACCGACAAAACATACGGTAAAAAACATACTTGTGTTAACATCGGTCCTTGTTGAAGTTTTTGTGTTGAATTTTTAACATATTCGTGTGTTAATTCAACATGTGTAAGTGTTAATGTCGATTAGCATATCATGGATATTATAATTTTATAGACGTGTTATGGATATTATATATAATTTTATGTTAATTATGTTATGTTAATTTTTGACGTAATATTTGTATTACTTTTCAACATATTCACCTTAAATTAATACAAAAATTTGCGTGGACCGTTTGGGACACGTGAAATGTATTAAATTTAACATAAATTTTTTTACTGTGCACATGTGTCTGAAATGTACAGAGAGGAATAAACGTTTCTGC